GGGTGTGTATGTGCTCACTTTATATGTCTGTATGTGTGGGTGTGTATGTGCTCACTTTATATGTCTGTATGTGTGGGTGTGTATGTGCTCACTTTCACTTACAACCATTTAAAGCATTTAACAGACATTACTCTTCAACATGGTATCGAGTCAGGAAACACCGGCTGGTAAACAATGACTCAGGAAGAAAAATGAGGCTCGTGTTTGGTTTCTCAGCCTGGACAGAAAATCTCCTGCAGCAGAACAGACAGGCTGGAATCTGGAGTTTTCTTTATCTGGTGACGAGCTGCTGTTTTCAACCCCTGAATGTTTTTGCTCAGGATAAAGCAAAGTACACACACATGCAATAGAGCAAATAATATATATTTTTAAATCCCTTGAGTCAGTATATAATCATATTTTACACATAAAAAAATAGAGACATGATGCCTGATGCTGTTATAATTGCCTGTAGGCCACAGTTTTTAGATTTGAGGATTAATAACATCACAATAACAACACAAGCAGAAATAGTATCAATCATGTGCAGCAGAGTGATAGTTTGTTGTGTTGTATCCTTAACTGGTTTATTGCCCCTGACCCTGTGTGGTATCTCTCCATGTTATCTCTCACAAAGCTCTGACCTCTGCAGCTCCTCCATCCTCATAACTTGATGTATTATTTTTATAGTCTTGTGGTTTTTTTCTCATCCTGAAAATGAAGTTTACAGTGTCGGTGTTGCTCCCACTCAGTCACCCCAGCTCCGGTTAAGACCCTCCCCTCCCGCAGGCTGCGGCGGTGTGTCCGGGTATAAAACCAACGCGCTCCCGTCTCCTCAGTCTAGTGCACCGGCTGTGAGGCGGCTCGTCGACCCGCCTATCCGAGCAGCAACGGCCAGCAGAGAATAAAGGACAATCTCTCAGAGTATAACTCTGCTTCTGCGCTCGCTTCTTCTTGTAAACTTGTCTTTCGAACTCCTTTTCCCCTCAAAATGACTGGTGGCCCGCTCACAGGGTTGCTGGTTGCGCTGTGCGTAAGCAGCGCAGTCCACGCCGTGCCAAAGAAGCAGCAGAGAAGACAGACGGGTCAGTATCAGGTGTATCCTGAGCTCCGTGACGCAGCGGCTGTCACTCCAGGTTGGTACAAGGGCTTTCATTACCTTTTCAAAATCGAAAATCAACTTTCCTTAATGCGTAAAAAAGTCAGAGATGATTTTTTATCTCTGCGTAATTTTGCTTTCTGGTGCGTAAATGTACCGAGTTGACAGTAAATGACACCATGGAAAACTGTATTATTCAGCTTTATGTCCCTTCTAGTATTTTCAAATCAGAACAAATGATTGCATGATCTCATTGTTTAATATTATATCACCTTGTGTCTAGTCGGCTGTGAGGACAACGGTCGCTCCTACAGACCAAACGAGCAGTGGGAGAAGCCCTACCTCGGCAGTATACTGGTGTGCACCTGCAGTGGAGCCGCAGGCATCAAATGCAAAAGTAAACCCGAAGGTCAGTGAGATTCCTACCGGTTAACACCCAGAGAAATGTCTCATCGGGTCATTTCTTCTCAGGCTCACTTTGGTTTGGATCAGCTGCCCCCCTCAGTGCAGTAGAGCTGCTGTTTCAATGACATCGAGTAAAAGAAAATACTGTGTCGGCTCTCACACTATGTCTAAAACAACAGGACTGAGTTTCTTAAGAAAACACACATGGGACCACTTTTAGATTTCCAGTTGTTCCGTCACCAGTGCGTCTTTACGCTGCGCAAGAGAAAAACACCCACAGCAGGTAGAACAATAACAGCCTCTTAACCTTTTGGCCTTTCCTGTTTTTGTCTCAGTTGTGGACTCCTGTTATGACAAGAACAATGACCGGACATATCGGGTCGGTGAAACCTATGAGAGACCAAAGGACGGCATGATGTGGGACTGTACCTGTATTGGTTCTGGTCGGGGCAGGATCAGCTGCACCATCGCAAGTGAGTTCAAGTTCAAATATTTTTATGTGCTTTATCAGAAATAGGTTTCACTTCAAGCTGAATTGGATTTTAGCGTAATTTCAATTTCTTTTGAATTGTATCTCTCCTTGTTGGATTCATGGATTGGTGTTAAAACACTTTACTTACATTATATAGATACAGTGTGTATGGTTATCAAAGCTATAGCAGTGGACTCAACTTCAAATCTGTGTCATTTCCAGATCGTTGCCATGAAGGTGGCAAGTCTTACAAAATCGGGGACACCTGGCAGAGGCCTCATGATTCCGCTGACTACATGCTGGAGTGTGTGTGTCTGGGAAACGGCAAAGGAGAGTGGACATGCAAACCTGTGGGTGAGTAACTTGACCTCACAGATTTAAACCCGAACTCTGGAATGCAGATAAATGGAAAATATTTACAGGAGAATTTATCAGAAGTGTGACTTTGTTTGAAACCATTCTAAATATTTGACAACAGTCAACTCAAACAAGGTGTGTGTGACAGCATGCATCTTACACCACAGCTATTGATTTCCCCGTGGTTTATTTCTCATGGAAACATTCAGAGGACGATTCAAATGTCAAATGATCAAACTGCAGACGCATTAAAATGAAGGTTTATACTGTGTGTCTTTTTTACCTGTGCAGCTGAGCGTTGCTATGACAACAGTGCTGCATCATCATATGTTGTGGGGGAGACCTGGGAGAAACTGTACCAAGGCTGGATGATGCTGGACTGCACGTGTCTGGGAGAGGGGAATGGACGCATCACATGCACCTCAAGGAGTAAGAAGAGGAGAAACACACACACACACACACTTTTTCATACTTGATTGGCAGCTGTTGACCGTTCTTCTGCCATCAGATCGCTGCAATGACCAGGACCCCAAGAGGGCGTACCGCATCGGAGACACCTGGACCAAGACAGACCCAAGTGGAAATCCCCTTCAGTGTCTGTGCTTAGGAAACGGCCGTGGAGAGTTGAAGTGTGAAAGACACAATGCAGGCCGAAGTGAGATTAAAAATCTTTACTCTTGTTCAAGTTCAGTTTTGCTAAAAGTGTTCACTAAATGGAAAAAGCTTCCCTGACATCCATCTTTCTCTCAATCGACTTTGGTGTTGCACAGCCACAGGGGCTGTTGTTTTGAACCCCACCCACACCGTGCTCCAGAAGCGTATCGATCCCCCCATGGAGGGAACCTGCCGCACAGACTCCGGAGCCACCTACTACGACGGGCAGCGCTGGATCAGAAACCAGGGCAGCAAGCAGATGCAATGTACCTGTCTGGGCAACGGCGTCAGCTGTCAGGAATGGGGTGAGCGCAAGAAAGAGGGACGAAAAGCAGGGGTCCCAGTTTCCTTTTGTTCAAAACGTCTTTAAAAAGATCAAATCCCTTTCTACTCTCTTTCCTCTCTTTCCTCTCTTTCCTGCGCAGAGAACAGAAACCACGCGTATGGTGGGAACTCTAACGGCCAGCCCTGTGAGCTCCCCTTCGTCTTCATGGGGAAGACCTACTACTCCTGCACCTCAGACGGACGCTCAGACGGGCAGCTCTGGTGCTCTACATCCTCAGACTATGATAAAGACCAGCAGTATTCCTTCTGTACTGAGAGGAATGGTGAGACACAAACTTTTGTTGTTGTATTGGGTTGATGTGGGACCTCGTCCCTAAAGTAATGGTACTGTCCACCACCAATATAAAGGTGTTGGATGGATAAGAATATCAGTGCCAACATTCGGAAATCTTTCACAAATCCCATCCCCCAAACTCAGTGATGTGTGTGTGAATGCTTGAATGCCAAAACACAAAATTGTACAAAATGGTAACCATGTTAGAGATGAACAATAACAGCTGTGTCTCCTTCTTGATTCCAGCCATTGTGGCAACACGAGGTGGAAACTCCAATGGCGCCCTGTGCCACTTCCCCTTCCTCTACAGCGGACGCAATTACACCGACTGCACAGCTGACGGACGCCGTGATGGCATGAGGTGGTGTGGTACCACCTACAACTACGACACAGAGCAGCACTTTGGATTCTGCCCCATGGCCGGTGAGTGTGCGCCCACTGCTTTTCAGTTCCTCCACACCACGCAGTCATGCACCATAAGTAAAATCAACCACCGGCTTTCATCTCATTTATTCTCAGGGAACATGGGTAATATGGTTTAACTCAGAAACGTAGATATGCTATACTAACATGGGTTAAATACTTTGTCTTTGTAGGGCATCACGCTAAATGCTTTGGTCCTTATCTTGTTCTGATGGATGGTAATGATGCTGGTTGTTTGGGTCACTTGTGGACAATTTGGGACTAAATTACTGACTTTCAGAGGAAAGAACATTCATGGGAGAGTAATGACTCCATTAAGGCTGTTACATAACACACAGATTCACAGCACTGAGCTCAAGTGGGCCGAGGAGAATTCACACACGCACAAATACAGCAAGTCGACAGAGCAGTCAACTATTCCTTGTTTTTCTTTCTTCTTCATGTCTTCTTCATGCAGCCCATGAGGAGGTGTGTACCACCAACGATGGAGTGATGCACCGTGTTGGCGACAAGTGGGACAAACGCCACGACATCATGGGTCACATGATGGAGTGCACGTGCCTGGGTAACGGCCGTGGGGAGTGGAGCTGCATTGCTCACTCACAGCTGCAAGGTCAGAGAGCGAACTCCAACAAAACTGTTTAAGTCATAGCAACAGAAGTCACATGATCGGACATGAGATCATGACATGCGTGTTCTTGTCTCCCTCCTCCCTTGCATGTGCAGATCAGTGTATTGTTGACAGCCTCACCTATGAAGTAAACCAAGAGTTCTCCAAACGCCACGACGAGGGCTACATGATGAACTGCACCTGTTTCGGGCAGGGACGTGGACGCTGGAAGTGTGACGCTGTCGGTGCGTTCAAGGCTTTTTAGCAGCTGAGGAATTACTGCCCCACCATTCTCTGTTCCGTGCTACCATCTCTGTCGTCTTGTGTTTTCACCAACAGATCAGTGTCAGGAGCCGCAAACCAGGGAGTTCCATCAGATCGGAGAGGCTTGGGACAAGGTAATCCATGGCATCCAATACCGCTGTTATTGCTACGGCAACGGGATCGGCGAGATGAGATGTGAACCCCAGCAGACGTACCAAGGTAGGAAAAAGAATCCTCCCAACATCGTCACTTCAAAGTTTCTCCGAGTGCAGACTTGAATTTGCACCATGCAAAGTCATATGAGCCACATTATGTTGGTTTTTCAGTTAAATAAACAACAAAGCTGATGCAGAAGTTAAACAGAGTCTCGTCTGCAGGGTCATAACTCAGTCAAGTCCGATCACACAGACACAGAGAAACTCTTTTTTAGATTTAGCTCGATGAAGGTGTTTTTATGTTTGTGATGTCCATCATGTTTATAGATCTACTTAAATCACAGCAAAAATATTCTACATATAACTTCACATCTTTTTTATAAACCCTGATGTTGGAGGTTTTCCTCAGAGTGAGAATTAAAGTCATCTTGTGTTAGTTGTCTTTACTCTTATGTTGTCACACGCTGCTTCTTCAAACTATATATTTTCATTATTGTTTTAATACAAGACCACCAGCGGCTGGAGTTACATATAGTAAGTTTAAACTTGAACAAATGAGCAAAAAGTTAAGATTTTATTTGAATCTACGCTTTGTTTTCTAGTTGTGAAAATCAAACATGACATAATTGAGATTCACTCAATCAGGGGTGAAAGACCCTAATCCTGAAAACCCCTGCACACGACATGATGATGCAGCAGTAATGACCAGCAGTCGTCATGACCGAATAAGGAGTATTATTTTAATGACAACACTAGTCTGGCTTTTATTTCCCAGCTGCTTCTGAGCTGTTAAGAGCTTTATTTGTGTTAGCGGCACTTATTTCACTTTCTGACATCCACCTCCCTCTCACCCGACACCTCCCGTCACACGTCACCGAAATGAAAAGTTCACTTCAGGTCAGCGGGGGTCGTTTTTTTCCCCTCCACTTTGAAGTCAAATGAGGAAGTGCAGAGCAGGCAATGGCGTCGCCCCTGTTGGTCTTTGAGGTTTTTCCTCACCCGCCTGGTGTAAAGAGTTATTTGTGCTGACCTGCTGATGGGAATGGGATGCTGGGCTTATTCAAGGGGGTGGGGGTTGGGGTTTAGCCTTTAAAAACACTTCCTGGCTCCAGTATCTCTCATGCTGGTTGGGTAAACGTTGCTTAATGTGATACTTTGCTCCTGAATCAAACATTGACCTGAAAAAGTTACAGTTGCAACATTTATCTCGCCGGGATCCGTCAGAGGAGAGTGTGTCAGTGTGTGTGCGGACCAGGGCCTTGAGGGGAAAGCAGGCAAATGCAACAGCTGATGAGGTTAATCCACAGCAACGGCAATTCTTTTTTATGGCCTATACACAGGAGACTATAATTAGCCCTGGTCTGAAACCTAATGAGGCCTCGTGTCACAGACTTTTTGCCCAAAGCTTCATAAATTTAAGAGTTTGGATGAAGACTAGAATGTCTAAATGTGTGTGTATGATGTGCCGGGGATGGTGGTGGAGGTTTCAGCTTAAACTGTATTATTGTGACCTTTATTTATAAAAGAGTCATTTGAAGATTTGTGAGAGATGTGTCAATTCCATTTTCCATTCCCCAAACAGATTCTGATACCTGGACTACAGCTGATAACGAGTTCCAATCTAAGAAAATGTTAATTTATATACCGGGATATTAGGGATTGGTTTAATGTGGGGCCCCACCCGGGTCCCTTTAGCACTAATATCCCCTGAAATGCTCCTGTGATGCTGTATGTGTGTATGTGTGTGTGTGTGTGTTCTTCAGGGTGCGGAGGCTAGATAAACCGTGATGAATATAGTACTCAGGTGTCATGTCAGAGTAAGATGTCGGTGGTTGTTTGAGCTGGTTTAGCACCGTCTGGTGATTTGGTTCAATCCCAAAACAATGATTCCATCTAACAGTGCCTCACCAAAAGGAG